TTTTGTATTGGGAGAGCGTTTCCTGACCTTGATCCCTCCAATCTAAAAGGGTACACCCCCCCCCCCACAGGGTGAGAAGTAGATGTCCTGCCTTCTAATCCAGCATGCATAGGGTGAATGTGGTTTACTCGGTGTAATGGAAGGGCAGACTACACATGCTCAGAGGGCCCTATCTTTCGTATTACCTAACGTCGGGGGTTGTAATGTTTGGAAAATGGATCAGGACTGTGACTCCCGTTTATTCCTGCAGGTGACGGGCACGTGCGTGTGATCCAAGTGGATACTCTCCCTCAGGGTCATTCTGAGCAGACGGCACCAGGCGACCCGTTGTTGAAGAGAGGCAACCCATTCCAATATTGTGGGGAAGGAACGAGTCAGGAGGGACCAGAGAGCAAGGAGCAGCCGGAACCAGGGAAGAGTGTGGATGAAGCCATTGCGAAGGGTATGTTGGACCAAGACGAATTCAAGATCTGTCAGATCATGCACCTCTGTGACTGCGGCAAAAGCTTCAGGAGGATCTCGGACCTTAGAATCCATGAGAGAACCCACACGGACGAGAAGCCGTTCAAGTGTTCAGAGTGTGGGAAGAGCTTCCGCCAGAAGGGCAATCTTTCGACGCACGAGAGAATTCACACTGGCGAGAAACCCCATCAGTGCTCCATATGCCAGAAGAGTTTTGCGAGCGGCTCCAACCTCATTGCGCATGTGAAAACCCACACCGACGAGAAACCGTACGAGTGTGCGGAATGCGGGAAGCGGTTCCGTCAGAAGAGGAACCTGACCACACATGAAAAGATTCACACTGGCGAGAGGCCGTACCAATGCTCGATGTGTCAAAAAAGTTTCGCTAGTGTGTCCAGCCTTATTTCGCACGAGAGAATCCATGCCGGAGAGAAACCTTTCAAGTGCGCCAAGTGTGGGAAGAGCTTCCGGCAAAAGGGAAACCTGAGAACACATGAACGGATTCACACTGGGGAGAAACCGCACCAGTGCTCCGTATGCGAGAAAAGCTTTGCTAGCGGTTCCAACCTCATCGCCCACGAGAGGATTCACGCTGGAGATAAACCGTATCAGTGCTCCGTGTGTCAGAAAAGATTTGGTTCGGGCTCCAACCTTATAGCTCATCAGAGAATTCACACAACAGGGAAGGCTTACAAATGTTAAGATAACGTGGGGGAAAGTTTCTGCCAGAAAGGAACCCTTACAGAGAGAAACCATATCTGTGCTCAGTGTATCTGAAAACCGGTGACTCCAACATTATGATGCATGAGAAAACCTTAATAGAGAGAACTCTTACGCACACACTGATTGCGGGGAAAGCTTGAGTGATCATCCAACATGTAAGGCACGCAATATGACATAGGAAAGCAACCACATGTCTGTGAGAAAGGAACACGAGAATCCTTTCCTCTTGACACAGGAAGCAAATCCCTACTGGAAGATGCTGAGAGTAAATTAAAATTATTCTCACACACACACACACCACCTCCATTAGAAATGTAGTGTCACTGCAAGTAAGTAACTTGCAAAAAGCCAAATTTGATGTTTTCCGGACAAAAAAATGCATGTAGATTTGTTGAAGATTCAGAGGTTTAGAGAAAAGACTTTGTTTCTCTCCCACCCCCCAAGGCATGAAATGGGGGGGGGGGGATCCCATGAAAATAACTCTTACGAATATTTACTCTTTGCAAATGAGAAATGAGATACTTTTCAATGCCATGTTTTTAGGATTGATTTCTAACCATCAGGGCACATGGCTGCAGTTTTCTTACAAGCTGAAAGGCTAGTCGCGTTGCCACGGTGTTTTCACTCGCTTACTCAACAAGCAACCTTCTGAAGCTTGAGAGGAGAGAGAAGAAAACACTTCCCGACGTTGCTGGACACGAGACGTTTTCGGGTATTTGGTCTAGGCATGCAGCCTGGGTCGCTGCCAAGCAATACAAAAGAATTAAAGTTTGAGGTTTGGTCTGGTCAGTAGGGAAGCGGTGCTTGCCGTGGGGAATCTCATGGAGCCTTCAAGACAAGCAGATATGTTGGGGGGAGGGTCTTTTCTCTTCCTCCGAGGAGCTCAGGGCAGGAGGCGTAATTTTCTCCTCTTCCGTTTTATCTTCGCGACAGCAGCTCTGTTGAGGTTAGGTCATGCTGAGGAGAGAAGGTGAGGGGCCCCAGGTCACCCAGCAGAGTGGGGGTTCAGACCTGGGCCTCTGAGTCACTCTCTCCACTCCACGACATCATGGACTCTGGCAGGCCCTGTGACCATCCTCTTTTCCCTCCGTACGACCCTCTGCTGGCTGCCCTGTTCTCCCTAAAAGAGAACTGCCCGACTTCCTGCTTCCCAGTCTCTTCCTTCTTCCTCCTTAAATGCCTCTGATGAAATGGGGGGGGGGGGGTTCAGGGAACATGGGCCATCCTTCTCCTTCGGGGGGGGTTTGAAACTTAACCAGGGCTTTTTTGAAACTGAAGCAAGGCTCTCTCCTGGACACCTTCTCCCTGGATTTTCTTGGCCTTACGTAGACTGGCACAAGCCTCACGCTGCCTCGGTCTTACTTCCTAGTCTCAGTGAGACTTCCAGTGTCCTCCTGTGAGCTTTGCAAGCCTTCTTTCCTTCTTGGTATTTTTTTTCCCATGTGTGTGTTTGCATGTGAGTGTGTGTGCACCTGGAAGTCATGGCGACCTCTGGGGGCTATCCCCTACTGGGGCCCTGGAGGCTATTCAGAGAGGCGGCTGAGTGAAGCCTGCCCCTGTCTCCCGACTGCTGGTATTCCTTGAAGGTCTCCCATCCAAGTACTTGCCAGAGTCAACCCTGCTTAGCTTCCGAGATCTGATGAGTTTGGGCTTGCCTGGGCTATCTAGGTCAGTGTCCCTTCCTTCCTTCCTTCCTTCCTTCCTTCCTTCCTTCCTTCCTTCCTTCCTTCCTTCCTTCCGTAAGAGTCTTGGGTTCTGCCTACACCGTTGCTGGGATGGCACCAGTTCCTTGAGATAACACTGCCATTTAATTCTGTGATGTTGGACTTGCCTGTGGACGCTTCTGCTGCTGAGTCTGCTGGACGGGGCTGTTTTAGAGGCTATTTGTTCCCTGTTATAGCGCGTGAATGAGTAGGAATCCCTGCCAAGCACTCACTGAGTTGTCCCTGGTTTTGTATATCCAAGATATGAAGTTGGCGTTCCCCTATTCAGGTATTTTTCCTTCCAGTGGGTGATGGTGAACCTAAAGGGTAGGAAGGAATAAGTAGCACCTTAGCATCCTGGCATCCACTGAAGGGGGCACGGTCCGTCGCCTGGTGAAATGGCACGGTAGGTCATGCTGGACAAACCTGGCAGCCCCACACTCCATTGAGGCTTTGTTGTTCACAGTGGAACAATCTTGCGCTCCGGTGATTGGTTATTCTGCTCTTAATGTGAGGTGTTTTACACCCTCTGATTCTTGTGAGGCAATTCTTCTCTGGAGTGGAGCCGATTTCTTGAGGAAGGTTCTCCACAGAATTGGGCTTTGAGCTTTTTTCTTGATTCCCCCAAAAGCCAGTAGGGTGCCGACCATATGTCTGTCAGTTGAAGGGAGGAACTGGCCACGGTTGTAAACTGAGGCACCAAATGGCAACAGGATCTCAACAGCCCTAAAAGTTTCTTCCCTTGTCTCTGAGGGTGTGTAACTTTTATCATTCCCACCTTCTCGAGAACAGATTTGATGTCTCCTCATCAAGGGTCGTTCGTAGAAAAAGAGCTAGGGGAACTCATTAGCATAACTCATTAGCATATGCCACACCCCCTGACATCAGGGGCCCGGCGGTGGACCTGCAAGGCCGGCGGGAGTGCGAGGAAGCCCCGCCAAGGCCCTCCCTGGCGCCAGGCAGGCAGGGGTGGGGAGAGGCGGGAAGGAAGCAACTTACCCTCCCTCTTCTCCTGCCTCCTTCTGGCTGAATGAGGTGAGGGCCGGAAGCGGGGCGGCCGGAAGCAGGGGGCGGGGCTTCGTCATGTGCCCCGCACCTCACCTGGGGGAACTGCGATCCCCCGCGATCCCCCCCGAATCGACCTCTGCTCCTCATCCTACCCAAGACCTTAGATGCTACTTCAGTGGTTGGTGTCTTGCTAACTTAACATGGAAACTTGCCTCATGAATGGCCACCAGAGTACATTTATGCTGGTGGACACTGTTTTCCCCAGTACTGGCCGTATTTATTTCATTTATAATAGCTTTACCCCCACCTTTCCAATAAAATGTCCATGGCAGCCATGAAATACAATACAGTAAAAGATACAAATGAATTCACACCTATAAACATCTCATGAATCCTTGAATGGAAACAGCCGCAACCGTATAAAAACACATATTAAAACATAATTAAAGCAACTGTAATAAAAGTACAGCAATAAAATGCAGCCGACCCGCAGTGAAAAATGGGGGCCTGTATCCTTGCCATTCCTTATATCAAAGGCTTCCTCCATCTTAAGCAGGAGAACCACTCGTGTTGGAGGTAGTTTCCTTAGGCTGGAGGAATGTATCCGACTTGGCTGAGTGGAGTAATAGGATATTCACAGATAAAACAGGGACATCTATGCCTGGCACCAGAAGGACTGTCAGGAGTATATCGGGAACGTCTTAAGGGAAGGTGCTTCTTTAATTGCACCATTCAGGGGGCAGGCACTGAAGCAGTGCCTCTGATGAAGATTTCAAGTACGGGCACAGCTTCATGGGAGCTTGCAGGCCTTGATATCCCGGTTCCTAACCATTTAGGTCTTTAAAGGTTAAACCCAGCATCTTCCAAGCCAGCATGGTGTAGTGGTTAAGAGCGGTGGACTCTAATCCAGAAAACGGAGTTTGATTCCCCACTTCTCCTCCACATGAAGCCTACCAGGTGACCTTGGGCCAGGCACAGTTCTCTCAGAACTCTCTCAGCCCCACCTGCCTCACAAGGTGCCTGTTGTGGGGAGTGGAAGGGAATGTGATCGTAAGCCGCTTTGAGACTCCCTAAGGTAGAGAAAAGCGGGTTATAAAAACCCTGAATTGTGCCTGGAAAGATCACAATGTTGTCGGTATAAGCAACAGTGAATGGTGTACCAATAGCAGCAATCCCACAGGAGTCCGTAGGCATTATAATCTGGAACTTCCCTTGTGGGGCTGCGAATGCATTTTTGTCCTTGTTTTGGAGTCTCAGACAAATCTGCTAAGTCTCCAGATGAGACTGGCAGTAGGGCTCTTTCCTGCTGCTCTGTCAGGGTGTTCCTCAGCAATCTGGATCTCCACGTACCATTCCTTGCTCTAATATTCTAAGATTCTATATTTTGCGACCATCCTCTCAGAGTGGTTTTCTACAAACTGGAAGTGGGTTCACTGGGGATATTAATGGCCCCCAGGATGTGGCCATCTGTAAAGCAGGGCAGGTGCAAAAGTATCTGCTTGCATTTTGGAAGAGAGGAGTCAAAAGAACCATGTGGTAGGCTTGATACTGTGCCCTAGTCATCTGGTCCAGGAAGCAGCTGAATGCTGTTTCTGGATTTGTTTTCATCCAAGGTACCAGTAACTGCATGAACCAAGAACATAAGAGAAGTCATGTTGGATCGGTCCAACACACTGTGTCACACAGTGGCCAAAACCCATCAGGAGGTCCACCAGCGGGGCCAGAACTCCAGGAGCCCTCGGATTGTTGCCCCCAAGTACCAAGAACACAGAGCATCACTGCCTGAGACATAATGTTCTATCCATACATTGTGGCTAATAGCCAGTGACGGACCTCTGCTCCATACGTTTATCCAGTCCCCCCTTGAAGCTGTCTATGCTTGTAGCTGCCACCACTTCTTGCAGCAGTGAATTCCACATGTTAATTACTTATTAGGTGAAGAAGTACTTTTATCTGTCCTAACTCCTACCACTTTCTGCATCCTTTTGTGATTCTCCACCAGCTGCACCTCCCTGGCTGAAATTATGAGACCTTAGCTCACCATTGCCTTTCCCTGTAGATGCTTGAGGTTGTCCTTTCACTCGTGCACAGTATGAAATTCTGGGCTGATGTTCCAGTCTTCTTTCTTCCTTATCCTCAAGTGGAGAAGTAAGCGGGTGGGCGGGTGGTCCTTTAGTGGGCTTATGCATCACTTCATTCATCTCCAGGCAGTATTGTGGTGAAGGAGAGCTTGAAATTTGAGAGTATCGATGGGACTAGGTCTGATAA